GTGAGGACGTGGTGAGGATGTGGTGAGAACATGTGAGGACGTGGTGAGGACGTGGTGAGAACATGTGAGGACATGGTGAGGATGTGGTGAGAACATGTGAGGACATGGTGAGGATGTGTGAGGACGTGGTGAGGATGTGTGAGGACGTGGTGAGGATGTGGTGAGAACATGTGAGGACGTGGTGAGGACGTGGTGAGGACGTGGTGAGGATGTGGTGAGGATGTGGTGAGGACGTGGTGAGGATGTGGTGAGGATGTGGTGAGAACATGTGAGGACATGGTGAGGATGTGTGAGGACGTGGTGAGGATGTGTGAGGACATGGTGAGGATGTGGTGAGAACATGTGAGGATGTGGTGAGGATGTGTGAGGACATGGTGAGGATGTGTGAGGACATGGTGAGGATGTGGTGAGAACATGTGAGGACGTGGTGAGGATGTGTGAGGACGTGGTGAGGATGTGTGAGGACGTGGTGAGGATGTGTGAGGACATGGTGAGGATGTGTGAGGATGTGGTGAGGATGTGTGAGGACATGGTGAGGACGTGGTGAGGATGTGGTGAGGATGTGTGAGGACATGGTGAGGATGTGTGAGGATGTGGTGAGGATGTGTGAGGACATGGTGAGGACGTGGTGAGGATGTGGTGAGGACGTGGTGAGGATGTGTGAGGACGTGGTGAGGATGTGTGAGGACGTGGTGAGGATGTGTGAGGACGTGGTGAGGATGTGTGAGGATGTGGTGAGGATGTGTGAGGACGTGGTGAGAACATGTGAGGACGTGGTGAGGATGTGGTGAGGACGTGGTGAGGATGTGGTGAGGACGTGGTGAGGATGTGGTGAGGATGTGTGAGGACATGGTGAGGATGCGGTGAGAACATGTGAGGACGTGGTGAGGTGTGTGAGGATGTGGTGAGGATGTGTGAGGATGTGTGAGGACACAAAGAGGACATGTGAGGACGTGTGAGGGTGGCTGCGTGTGTTGGCGCTGGGGAGATGTGCACAAGTGTTCCTGGGTCCATGCTGGTGAGTGCTGGGCCCCGCGTCTGCTCCTTCTTCACTCATTACGGGAGTCTTTATTAAGCACCTCCTGTGTGCTGGTGTAGCTCTGGGGCTAGGTCTATGCAGTCAGCAGGTAATGCAGAGCCTGCTCCTGTGGGGCTTTGGTCCCCGCCGGGGAGACAGACCCTCAGGAGGGGCAGCTACAGGATGTGGCTTCAGTGGGAGGGTTGGGTCAGAGAGGATGGTGGCTGGTGGTGGCCTGGCTGGGTGGCCCTGCCTTTTCCCTCCCGCTTCCCAAAGCGTCTCCTCTCCAAACGGCAGCTGCTCCTGCAGTTACTCGTAAGACATCTTTCCCTCCTCGAGACTTCTCTGTTTTACACGTTTTGCAAGTTCATGAAAATTGTGCATTTTTCCTCTATGGGAAAATGGAGTCTTCTTGTCAGAAAGCGTTTTTCTGAGCGATGAGAGCCCTGGCTGAGCGTGCACAGCCCGTGCCAATGCAATGGTGTCCATGCACAGCAACTGTCCCCAGGATGGTGTCCTGTCAGCTCGGAACCCATTGTGCGCTGGCTGGGCAGGGCTGCCAGGCAGGAGGCTGGTTCCACGGCTGTGCCTCGAGGCTCCGAAGCTGGCAGCTTGGGGTTGAGTCCCAGCACCTGCACTCACCGCGCACGGGGGAGGGGCCTCGCCTTCCAAACGGGGGTGGGTGGAGGGGTTGGCTCCTCCTAGGGCTGCAGTGGGGATCACGTGGGCTGGTGCATGCGGGGCCCATGCCCAGTGCCACATGGCTATCACCATTGTCAATCTCTTTCTCATGTGGCTCTGACCCTGTGCTCACCCTTAGCCCCCAGGAGCTCCAGGACCCCTTGAACCTACAGCTCTTCCTCTAAGTGTGGCATGGGCGTGGCTGGTGGTGTGGGTCAAACACCCCCCAACATACACAGCTGGGTCCTCACCTCTGGGACCTCGGGGTACTGCAGCTGTGTTCAGGGAAGATGGGGGGGGTCCAACCCAAGGTCACCAGAGTCCTTATGAGCCGGACAGAGGGGGCCCTGTGACACTCGGGTCCTGCCCTGCCTGGGAAATCCCTGCTTTGTAAAAAATCTGCTAAAGTTTTCTTTCTTTCTTTTTTTTTTTTTCTTTTGATACAGAGTCTTACTCTGTTGCCCAGGCTAGAGTGCCATGGCGTCAGCCTAGTTCACAGCAACCTCAAACTCCTGGGCTCAGGCGATCCTCCTGCCTCAGCCTCCCGAATAGGTGGGACTACAGGCACGCATCACCATGCCCGGCTAATTTTTTCTATGTATTTTTAGTTGTACAGCTAATTTCTTTCTATTTTTAGTAGAGATGGGGTCTTGCTCTTGCTCAGGCTGGTCTGGAACTCCTGAGCTCAAACGATCCGCCCACCTCGGCCTCCCAGAGTGCTAGGATTATAGGCGTGAGCCACTGCGCCTGGCCACGCTAAGGTTTTCTGTGTTCCAAACAACATGATTGCTTTCTGCAAATATCCTGTGGGCATATGAAAAATATATTTTTTCCTTGAAAGAATTAGGACACGTATCACGGGCTTCCATCATAGTCTTTCCAATTCTGTTAAATATGAGTGGTGCATGCCATGTGGTCATCAGAATCTCCTCACATCTCTAACAGTTTTCCCTTCATGTTCTCAGTGGCCAAATCACTTTGCAATAAGGGTTTATAACCATTTCATCTCTGTCAGAGTGAACCCTCTTTTTCATGGTTAGTGTCTGTGACGTGAAGTCCCTCCCCGTGATGTTTGTGCTGTGATCCTGTTTTGTGGTGGTGCTAGGAGTTGCCTGGAATCTCTTTCCCATTTCATTGTATTTCCAGCTTTTTTAGTCACTTTATTTTAACGATGTTTGTTATAAACATCGAATGCAGGGGTTTGTGTGTGTGGGGGGGAGTTAATGGAATAGCCTCTGCCATTTTAACCGATTCGGTACGAGCGTGGACTATAGTTGACAGCCATGGATGAACACGCACAGCGACTTTAGCTGACAGCATGATATGACTTTTCTGAGTTTTCATTTATCAAAATAAAATTGTGAACATTTAAAGATAACATCATGAAAACATATATGTCTATGTTACTTATTCTGATTTACATGACAAGTAAAGCTGCCTGTAAAGTAAAACAAGCTTTCAGTGCTTTCTAGTGTTCCTCAGCAAACAAGAGCAAAACGGACTCCTCAATGCACAGCATAGTCTGTCGTGCGGACCTTGAGTGCCGGCTGTGGGCGAGGTGTCCGGCCGGTGAGCGCTGTGCCGAAGCTGTTAAGGAGAGATCTAGTTTATTCACATTTATTGTAGTGGCCAACGAACCTGATCGGATTCCTGCTCTATGGCTTTACCGAGTTATGTTTTCGTTTCCTCTTTTATCCATCTCTGTATTCTTGTCGGTCTGACCGCATGGCCTCCGTTCCTTCTGCTCCGTCACGTGGGCGGCTGCCTCCGCCTTTCTCAGCCTCACAAGCAAACACGTGTCCCTTCCATGCGTGAACCAGCACTCGGCATTTCCCACCAAGACTCTCCCTGCCGTGTGCCCCTCCCCCGCAGAGCACCTGCTGTCCTGCCAATATGAAGGCTCCTCCCCCTGCGTCCTGCCCCTGCGTCAGTCCACCTGGGTGTGACACCAGGCGACAGGACTTGGCCGGCGCAGGGTCCTCCAGATGGTGCATCCTGTCTGGAGACCGAGACCTGCCCCAGCCCCTGGGCCCGGCTGGGGCTGGGAGAGGGGAGGGTGGAGGCTCAGGCCTGCTTGGACAGGGGCCGTGGGGTCCTGTCCCCACGGCCCCTGTCCTCTCTCTTCTGGGCCTTCCGAGCGCACGGGAGAAGGGCTGGGTGTGCCGCCCCCGGGACGTGAACCCCTGGCAAGCCACAGCTTCCACAGGCCGCAGTGAGGACTCGGGGGGCTCAGGCTCAGCATTGGGGGGCACACGTGGCTCCTGAGGTAACCACGCTGTTTTCTCATAGCACGTGAAGCGGTTTCCATCCACAGTGTGGCTGTCCTTCCACAGCTGGTGGCACCCAGGCCCGTCCCCTCAGCGTCCTGCGGGGCCGCTCCTCCCTGACCCCAGCCAATCCCGTCCCGCAGGTGCAGACAGATGACCTACTCCCAGGACCTGCCCCAGGTCTCTGTGGTCTTTATCTTCGTCAATGAGGCCCTGTCTGTCATCCTGCGCTCTGTGCACAGCGTGGTCAACCACACGCCCTCCCAGCTGCTCAAGGAGGTCATCCTGGTGGACGACAACAGTGACAATGGTGAGTGTGGGGTGGGCTATGGGCAGGGCTGTGGGCGTGAGCAGGGCTGTGGCCATGGGCAAGGCTGTGGCCGTGAGGGTGTGGTGAGGGCGTGGCTGGGCCATGGACAGGGCTGGGGTGGACGTCGGCTGCAGGTGGCTACAGCAAGGACCACACAGGCCGGAGGAGCAGGGGCTCAGGGGTTCGTCCTCCCTCAGCTCTGCAGGCCGGGTCTGTGGCACAGTGTGGCAGGGCCACGCTCCATCCAGCCACGTGGGTCTTCTGTGTTTATGGGGTTTTGCTCCTGAGGGGCTCCCAGTGCTTCAGCCCCCGTCTCGCTGGCCCCTTCGGCCTACTCCTCTCTGAGGCCTGTGTCTCTCCCCCCGCAGTGGAGCTCAAGTTCAACCTGGACCAGTACGTGCGCAAGAGGTACCCCGGCCTGGTGAAGATCGTGCGCAACAGCAGGCGGGAGGGCCTGATCCGGGCGCGGCTGCAGGGCTGGAAGGCGGCCACCGCCCCCGTTGTCGGCTTCTTCGACGCCCACGTTGAGTTCAACACGGGCTGGTAAGAGACGGGGCAGGCTAGACGAGGGTCCTGGTCAGTCCCTCCCTCAGCTGGGCTGGGGGGTCCCCATCAGCCTGCCCTGCGGGAGCTGTGGGCCCAGCACCACCAGGTCCTGCCACGTGGCTTTGCGACGTCCTTTTTTTTTTTTTTTTTTTGAGGCAATTAATTTGTTTCTATTTTTGGTAGAGATGGGGTCTCGCTCTTGCTCAGGCTGGTCTTGAACTCCTGACCTCGAGCTATCCTCCCACCTTGGCCTCCCAGAGTGCTGGGATTACAGGCGTGAGCCACCGTGCCTGGCCCCCTCATTTAATTCTTACGAATGAACGTCTCTTCCACAGGTGCAGGAAAGGAGGCCGGGAGGCGGGGTTGGGGTGAAAGAGAGGCTGAGCTGCGAGCTCCGGGCAGACACGGCAGAGCCCTTGGGCCTTGCACCTCCCTCCCTTGGGAGAGCTGGTCCCCCCTCCCCCGGGGGAATGGGGAGGCCGGGCACCCCTGCCCGTCCTCACTGCCTGCGTGCCTTCCACAGGGCCGAGCCCGCCCTCTCTCGGATCCAGGAGGACCGCCGGCGGATCGTGCTGCCGGCCATTGACAACATCAAGTACAGCACGTTTGAGGTGCAGCAGTACGCCAATGCGGCCCATGGCTACACCTGGGGCCTCTGGTGCATGTACATCATCCCGCCGCAGGACTGGCTGGACCGCGGGGACGAGTCGGCCCCCATAAGGTGCGGGGAGGGGTGGGGCGTGGAGGTGGGGGCAGCCACTGCGTGGGCCTGGGCAGGGGCAGGGGCTGCTCCTGCAGAAAGGAGGCCTGGAGGATCGGAGGTCAGTGTCAGCAGAGCAGAGGCCCAGGGCTGCCCAGGTGCGCAAATCTCACAGGAGGATCGTAGGCAGGTGGGCAGGATTGTGGGCAGGTGGGCGGGCTAACCGGATCTGTGACCAGACTGGGGGGCGGGAGGGACGTGTAAAAGCAAGCCACCTGAGCAGTGAGACGACGAAGGTGGCACTCAGGACAGAGACTCACAGTCCTCCAGTCCGACCCCCTCGGAGTCCCGCCAACATGTATTTTCCATTTTGAATTCGTTCATTTAAACACAGAAAAGGAGAGATTTTTAACATTTCAGAAGCACGCAGTGCTGGCACCTCTTGAAACCCGGGAGCCCGTGCAACACGAGGCCCCCCAGGCTGGAGCTGTGAAGCACGCGTCCCACAGGTGTCGTCCCCAGCAGGGGTAGTCCGAGCAGTCATCCCCGCTCGCGCAGTTCACCACCACTCTGTTTCTCCCTGGCCTGACTGTCCATGTGCCAGGTCCAGCTTCTCTCTCACCTGGCTCCTTTATCCACTGGCCCCCACCCCTGACTTTGTACAAATGTGGACATCAGGTGACTCGGGAGATCTTGGTTTCTTCAAGAATGACTATCATGACATAGAGTATCCAGAGTCACGGGCGACGTCTGTCAGGTGTGACTTCCCTCCCACATGCAGGCATAGTAACAGACATGATCCTTCTCAGACGTGACTTCCTCCATATAGAGTTCAGAGTAACGGCAGATCCTGTCAGACATCACTTCCTTCACATGGAGTATCAGAGTCACAGGAGACTATTTTGTCTGACATGCACTTTTCTCAACATGTAGAATCAGTGACAGGTGAGAACTCCTGTCCAGAACATGACATCTCCTCCACATGCAGGATCAGTGGTAGACAGGTGAGATCCTGTCAGACGTCACTTCCTTCACATTCCAGGATCAGAATAACAGACGGCGATCCTTCAGACATCACATTCCCTCACACTGCGTATCCAAGTCACCAGGCTGTGTTGTCATATCACTTTCCTCATACTGGAGCTTAAATCACGGTGAGGTTCCTTCCAGCATCGCCTTCCTCTGGAAGGTTGCAGTAACAGGCGCTTGCCAATCCATCTTCGCTTGCAGTGGACATCTGTTCTCGTCTCTGAATGAACTAGAGCCAATTCCCACTGATAAATGACCTTTTCACAGCCACGATTGTCCGTTTCTTCCGTCTCACATCTTCCCATGAGAGGCCAGTGGTCATTTATCAGATGCTCTTCCTATCAGTACAAGGGAAATCGCACTTTTCATAGATTGTGAACGCTGATTTCTGGGGCCCTGAGTCCGTCTCTGGGGCTGCCAGGCAAGCAGGGGCAGCTCGGCGTCCAGGCCGCTCCAACAGGGTTTTGCTCAGGTCCCACCTACGCGTCGGTCTGGTTGGTCCCTGGGGTGACCTCCTACACTCCAGAGTGTAGTTGGGAACACCGTTGGGCAGAACATTGGAATAGACATGACTGCCTGTTAGCTGGTGCAATCACCAGCAGCGTCACGTTTCGGGGACGTGGAAGAGAGAAAAGTGGTTGGCGCGGGCAGGCAGGTGAGGGCCCTGCGGGACTGAGAAGGGAGCTGAGGGTGTGTGTTGTGGGGTGTGTCGGACCTGGGGTCCGAGTTAAAGGCTGAACCCCCGACGACCCCCAGCAGCGTGGTGAGGGATCACTGTCTCCAGGATCAACAATGGGCCATGTGAGCAGGAGGAACCCAGCTCAGGCTCACCGAGAGGGCCCCACCGAGGGCTGGGAAGGTCCCTTCCCCCAGCCACCGTCCCCCGAGAATGGTGGAATCCTTCTGGCACGGTCACAGTGCTGGCTCCCGTGTCCGGGACTCGGGACGAGTGTTCCCCGAGGCCAGCAGGGCACAGGCAGTGCACGGCCGTGCAGATGCTGCACTCCCCCTGAGTCCGCAGGTCCCACTTATGGGCCCCCGTGGGCACACCTGCCCTTCTCCGGAGTAACACAACTCGTGCGTCTGAACCGGCCTGGAAAATGATGTGGAGCCGAGAGGCCTGACCATTCGAAATTTACTTTGGGACATGTCCCCTTGCGAGCATCCGGTGCGGGGGAAGGGGCGGGAGAACGAAAACACACACAGACACAGAGAGCCCACGACACACATACCACAAAACCCACGCCCCAGCGGCCTGGCGGACGGCTCCTTGGACGAGGCTTGCAGCTCACGCGCCAGAAAGCCAGAGGTGAGGGTCGTCCCGAATGACCAACCACACAGAAGACATCATAGACAACAGACTGCTTTTCTGTAATACAGCAAGGATTCTCCACGCGGATAAATTACCCGTGTCAGCCAATTACACACCCTCGGTGTCTGCATTTTGCATTTGTTTGGGAACCGAGCGTCATAAAAATTCATATACACACAGAACACATCAGAAGAGACACTTCGATCCGGAGATCAGCCTGAGATTATTCGCTTGTTGCTAAAGAAAACGAGAGAAATCCTGTCGTGGTGACAAGAACTGCAAACTTAATGATCAACATGTTCTGTAAAAATCAGAGTCGGTGTAAAATTTCTTACTGTTTAGGGTTAGTGGCAAAGTCTTAAATGACAGAACAATTGGACTTTGCACAGAAAAAAGATAATCACCTTTTAAGTCCCTGTGTCTCTTCGGCCACTGATGGGTGTTTACTTCTGCTTCAGGGCAGTCATTGGGGCAGAATGCTTCTTTTAAATTATACTGCCGGGCGCGGTGGCTCCACACTTAATCCCAGCACTCTGGGAGGCGAGGAAGGAGCATCTGCTCGAGGCTCAGGCAGTTCAAACAGCCTGAGCAAGAGCGGAACCACCATCTCTACTAAAAATAGAAAGGAAATAGCTAACAACTAAAAATATAAGAATAAGTTAGCGGACAGTGTGGCGCATGCCTGTAGTCCTAGCTACTTGGAGGGAGGCAGCGTCATTGAAGCCAAGGAGTTTGAGGTTGCTGTGAGCTACTGACGGCTACGCACTCTTCTTGCCAGCGCCAGCAACAGAGTAAGATTCTGTCTAAAAGAAAAAAAAATTATGACTGAGAACAGTTTTTTGTTGTGTTTTTATGGAAGAGAGAGTTAATCCCTTCGGGGCCTTGGGCCGGCTGCCTGCATTTTGGGGCAACCTTGAGCTCACAGGTTCCTCATAGACCCTAAGGCCTTGGAAGAACACCAAGCCCCTCGAGTGCAGGGATTGTCCTTGATATGAGGCACAAATCTTTAATTAAAAGCTTAGAAGGCCAGCGAGGTGTCCACCGCCTGTAATCCTAGCAACTCTGGGAGGCCGCAGGGGCAGATTACTCAAGGTCAGGCAGTCTTGCAAACCAGCCTGGCAAGATGAACTCTTGTCTTATAAAATAGAAAGATTAAATTGCCAACTAAATACATAAGGGCCCGGGCATGGTGGCCACGCTGTAATCACTAGGCACTCTGGGAGGCGCGAGCAGGCACTTGCTTGAGGTACGCGAGTTCGAAACAGCCTGAGCAAGAGCGAGACCCCATCTCTACTATACAATAGAAAGAATTAATTGGCCAACTAATAACATATATAGCAAAAAATTAGCCTGGGCATGGTGGTGCATGCCTGTCAGTCCCAGCTACTCGGAGGCTGAGGTAGGAGGACTTGCTTGAGCCAGGAGTTTGAGGTTGCTGTGAGCTAGGCTTCAACCCCGACGGCACTCTAGCCCGGGCACAGAGTGAGGACTCTGTCCTCAAAAAAAAAAAAAAGGGCTTAGACGTCCTGCTTTTGATCCAACACGTAGAGTCTGCCTATGTCCACTTTAGAGATAGGTTTTTCCTTCTTTTTCTCTTTTGTGTCCACACATAGAGACGCTGGGTAAGAACGAGTAGTGAGTCGCGACATGGCTCACTGCGCACCCGGCATCTTCCCCCTGCGTCTCACTGCGCTCGTGCTTCTCACCCATCGCTGTGCTTGGGCAACGTGCCCAGCGGGGCGGACTCACGGCACTTGATAAGTTTAACGCTATTGGGGGAAAAAAATAAAGGCACATCCAGTCTCGATTTTGCTCGCTGATGAGGAGCCAGCTAAATCCGCTGACATAATTTGAAATTGTGACCAACAGCGTACGGTTGCCGGCTGTCGTTGCACTACAACCACGAGTTTTGCGCGCGTCCGCACCGCCAAGGGTTGCGTTCAGAGAGGCCTGGCATCGTGAGGCTCCGTGGCGCCGAGCAGTGCCAACTTACACAACTGCCCCGTTGCAGCCCCGACTTCTGTACACAGATAGGCGAAACGCGGCAGGAGGTGGCAGTCACTCAAAGCCTGGAAAGGGTGTCTCCAGGCCCAAACAGACGGGTGGCATACATTGATTTTCCTTTATTTCCTGCCACTTTAAGTCCTGAGTTGCTCGGCAAGGTGATCAGTTGATGTTGTGCCAGTGAGCGTTCGTACCCGTGTCTGCTGCCGGCAGCTTTACATCCGGCTCTGCGGCGAGCAGCGGCCCAAGCCCCGGCAACAGCGACTCGCGTGGCCACGGGAAGTCAGGGTGGAGGTGCCAGGCGGAGAGGAGGTGGCGGGGGGGCTCCGTGGCGCTCCTGCTCGGGCCAGCCCTGGCGACGTGCTCAGTGCCGCTGTCTCTGCCCAGGACCCTGACCATACGATACGCTGCTCCTTCGTGGCGGACCGGGATCACTCCGGGAAATCGGCCTGCGGACCCGGCGATGGGAGGTATACGGCGGAGAGAACATCGAGCCTGGGCATGAGGGTGAGTGTGCCGCCCGCAGGGGCTCTCGGTCGCGGCAGGGCCAAAGAGGCGCAATCTCCAGTTTCTGGGTCATACAAAGTGTCTGCTGGGGGTGACAGGTCCGGAGCTTTGGGAAGCGGGTCCTCCAGCGCAGAGAGCCCAGCACCTGTCCCAGCCTCGCCCGGGGCTG